ATGAGGAAGTGGGCTGCCGGGACTTGCTTTTTGTTTAGGGGCTAAAGATCATAGGCATGATTGGATTTACTGGGAGCCTGAATCCAACATTTATGAGAAGATTCTGTTGAGACCAGGAGACTTTAAGGTATTAAGCTATGCTCTTCAGGGTAGCTTTGCGTTTTAGTGGGACTTAGAAGGTAACAATTATCCTTCCCCACTAGTGAGAATGATACATCGATGTCTTATCTCCTCTGAAATGTCTGGCATGTATTTATTGAAACCTCCAGGTTATCCCTTACCAGTTCTTTTCCAGCTTTTGGAAGACTGAGTCTTTGAAGATGGTTTATATATGTTTAAAATATTGCCTTATTGTTAAAATAATCCTGGCTTTGCCTCATTGTGTGCTCTTGGCAAGTTACTTAATTGCATTCTGCTTCAATTCCCTTACCTATAAGTGATGCCTTTTTCAGTTATTGTGAGGATTGAGTTAACACATGTAATACATTGAATAGTACCCTGTCCATTATTACTTTCTCAAACGTGTGTGTGTGTGTTCAGTCATGTCTGACTGTGACCCCGTGGACTGTAGCCCACCAGGCTCCTCTGTCCATGGAATTTTCCAGGCAAAAGAATACTGGAGCAGGTTGCCATTTCCTACTCCAGAGTGTCTTCCTGACCCAGGGCTTGAACCCATGTCTCATTTGTCTCCTGCACTGGCAGGCAGATTCTTTATCACTGAGCCACCTGGGAAGCCCTATAGTGGCCATTCTTATAATAATAACTATCATTTATTGAGTGGTGCCAGCCAGTGTACTTGGTACTTTAAATTTATCTAGTTTGATTCTCACAACAGTGCCATGAAGTTGATTGTTTTAACCATTTTATAGAAGGAAACTGAGTCTCATAGAAGAGCAGTAAATTGCCTTGCTAATAAATATTGACGCTGTTGTTAAAGCTTACATCTTTGATACCAAAATCCACTTTCTTTCCACTGTTCAATTTATTACAAATCACAGTCATTATCATTACCTGTATATTTGTATTAGCTATAAATAAGTTTCCTTAACTACACAGCACCATAAAGTAATGAAAAGCCCTCCAAAGTTCTTACAGTCTTACTCCCTTCTCTTATAACTGAACATTTAGTCTTCTCTCTGGTCTCTATACATGCTTGAGTAAAGTACTTCAAGCCCCAATCATGACCTGTCTTTTCAGATTTCATGAGCATGAGTGAGAATGCCATCTACCAAGTATCTGTATTAGTGTCCAGGTTAAACCTTTAGAAACAACAAGAAAAAATCAGAAGAAAAGAAAGTAAAACCAGTAATTTTAAAAAAAGAGCGTTTATTAACTTGAGATGTTAAATGCTAGTCTGAAATAGAAATCCCATGTTTAAAGAACAAGTTGATCAAGCCTGTATTCTGTAGATAATTCTTCTGTGTACTGTGGGCTTTCCTTAAGGGTTGCCCACAATACTCAAAGGAATTTTAAGGGTTGAGTATGGAGAGTGCATCAGGTTACACAAGGACATTTCGGAGTGAATCTTCTAAGTTAGTGTTACATGTATCCTAAAACTTATAAATGAAAAGCAGCCAGCTGGGGTAATAGAATTGGACTTAGTATGTAGGGCTTTCCAGGTGGCTCTGATGGTAAAGAACCCATCTGCCAGTGCAGTAGGCTGATGAGCCGCTAGTTCGATCCCTGGGTTGAGGATCCCCTGGAGAAGGATGTGGCAACGCACTCCAGTCTTCCTGCCTGGAGAATCCCGTGGACGGAGGAGCAGAACAGGCTGCAGTCCGTAAGGGTCGCAGAGTCGGACGCGGCTGAAGCGACTTAGCACACAGGCCTGTGGGTTACCGGAGGCAGATGAGAACAAAGGGAGTTATTTTACATCAGGTTCTATTTTTCCGTGAATGTCTTGATGCGCTTTTGAGTTGGTTCATAAAGGAGTCTGAAAATTTTCAAATCCAGGGCAGAATCAGTAGAAATCTTTTAATCATTTACTGTATGCCAAACACTGCCAGCAGGAACGCTTGCTTTTTTTTTTTTTTTTCCCCCTTCCCTTTCCGCGGGTCACTGCAGGTCACGTGGTCGGCATCATGTGACTCGGTCAAAGGATCTTTTCCTCGTAGCTTTGCAAAAAAAAAAAAAAAGCAGCAACCGCGGTTCTCCAATTAAAGCTGTTAACGTGTACTACGCTGTTTCCTTGTTGGATTTTCTTGTTCTCTGCTGCTACTGTAAAAACAAAATGAGTGGTAAGCTTTACTGGTTTTGAACATTCTGCTTTTATTTTAAAACGTAGCAAGTATTGTATTACTCTAAAGTCATGCCGTGTGTTTTTTCAATAGATGCCAGCTCTGTCGCTGTAAAAATTTTACATTGTGGCCGTGTAGTTATAAAAAGATTAACTCTGTTTAGAGTTGGGTTGATTTTACATTCCACAGAATATTCCTTTCCAGAGCCTTTACTAGGATTTTCTTTTTACAACTAAAATCTGCAAATTGGCATCAGATTATTTGGAAGCCATTGTGAAAGCTTGCTAGTAAAGAGAATGTGTGGCACGTCAGCAGCCCGTTGCATGTTAAGAATTTGAACCCAGGCAGATCTTTTGTTTTTTTAAATCAAATGTCTGCTAATGTCTACTATTAAGGAAAAAATTTAAAGAGTTGACATTTTACTAGATGAAATACCGTCTTTACTAAATCCTTGATGGCAGTTTTTAAGGAATTGAGGCTTCTCAAATTTCTTAAGGCAATTGGTAAATAGAGTTGTTTACTCTTATGCAAGATTTTAGAAAAGGATATATGCCCTTAAAAATCAATAGGTGTATGATTTGTGGTAGATTTTGCTAAAATTGTATATATTATTAAGGAGTTACTTGGTGGATCTACAGTGGTTCAGATACAGCTAGTCTCCTGCCAGATGTGTGTTTAATGGTACAGTCTGTAACAGACTTAGCTTCTTCGCTGGGACAGGAGCTCCCTCACTGCCCTTAATCAAGAGTTTGCAGTTAATCTTTTCATACCTCCTAAATTAAAAAATATTGGTGGAACTAAGGAGGTGATGGAACTTCTGCATCATCAGGTTATGCAAGGTTTTGGAGTTTTGCTACTATAGACAGGAATAGCAACAGAAATGGTGCTGTAAATATGTTACTTCACACCAGTATTTTAGATATTAAATAATGCTATACATGAACTTTTTGTTTGTTTGTTTTTTTAAAGAAAAAAATCTAACCTTGTACTATTTTTCCTCAGGGTAAGAAAATTCACTTGGTAAAGTGAAAGGATTACTTCATAGGGATATGAGTTAATCATTATTCCTGGACTGCAGCTAGTTATGGGTTTACTGCTGGTTTGCGATTAGGTTTGTTTTGTGCTCTCTTCAGTAATCACACTTAGATATAGTTAAAGAATAAAGTAGAATTTTGTACTACTAAATTACAAACACTTAGCAGCTTTCAAAGTATGTTTGGTTTGAATTGCAACTACTTAGTATTTATATATTCATATCTTTAGTGAAAGAAGAGCAACCCAAAGCAGTTATGTAGTTTATAAGATTAAATGTAATTGGTAATAACTTATTTTTCACTCTGATGGCTAAAAAACAAAAATTTGTTCTGATAACTTGAAATAGGGATTAAACTTGACCACATATGCAAGGAACCAGTCTCTGGCACATACAGTAGAAACTCAACAAAGTAATTTCCTTTATTAAGATTACAGATAACAGTTTTCAATGAATTCTCTTTCTGGTTCTCAGCTAAATTTCACACACTGTGAATAATCTCTAAGCCAGATCTCAGGATTCAGAAAGTTAGCTTGCTATAGTTTTCTATAAATTAGCTAACAGAAGTAAACCAGCATAACTTTAAAACTGCTGTCATTTCTTGAGTCCAGCATGTAGAAGTTGAAAGGTGAGTTTTGGATGAAGCCTCTCTTGCCTAGAGGTATAAAGCACTTCACAAGTATTGTCTAGTAAATTTATAGGTAACATTGACTTAGATGTAGAAAAATTTTGTTGTTTTTGTTTTCCAAGGATATAAAAATAAAGAAGGCCTTACTTGTCCTTAGAAGCATCAGAGCATATTTCTTAAAGCTCGTTACATCAGTTGCCAAAAAATACATGATATTTTAGTGTTTACTAAATACATAGTAGAAATATATCCTTAGATATGAAACAACTGTTTGAAAAGTTGTTGGTTAGGGAAGGATATCACTATAAAAATGAAAGGAAATGTAGAATAAGACAGCTGAATTTTCTTTTTTTTTAAAGGACTTTTCAGTGTAAGGAACAAAAAAGTTTTCTTTGGGTAAATACTTGTGTATTCCATTTTTCTAACTGTTCTCAAGCCCCCAAAGGCATGACTTACGTACTATAGGGTTAAAAGAAATTTTTAGCCCTAAGAAAACAAGTTCCAAATTTCTGACTATTCTTCCTCTTACTGCTTCTTCCTCTTGACTTTTTCTTGATTTTTTTCTATTGTTTTTTTTTCAAATTTTGCCTTTTGTATTTTTCATTGATTTTATATGCAAAGTTTGGTTTGATTTTCCACTGGGTCAGTGTTTCTTAATTTGCAAAATTTGCACAGGAATTACCTGGGATGTTTGTAAGCACACTGATTCAAGACCCCCATTTACTGTAAGCGTACTAAACAGGAATCTCTAGCTCCCTGACCAGGGGTTGGACTCGCTGCCCCTGCAATGGAAGTGCAGAGTCCTAACCACTGGACTGCCAGAGAAGTCCCTGTGTGCTTTAAAAATCCCCCCAGGTGACTGTTACCATCACCAGGCAGGTTTGAAAAACACCACTGTAGGTAAAGAGCAGTCAGTGCCCTTTACAGGATAAACACTTCTATTTTTTAGCAGGTGAATCATCTGAATTTCTTTTCATGGTTATACACTATTAGTTTAAGGGTTTAGTTTAAAATGAAGCATTCAAAATGCAATTCAAATTGTTTTCAATTTTTGCTCATTAAGTAACCCAGGATTAACACGTGACTTCTGTGATCTGTGCAGGTCCTGCTCAGGTTCCAATGATGTCCCCAAATGGCTCTGTGCCTCCGATCTACGTGCCTCCTGGCTATGCCCCACAGGTATGTTCTGTGTTACTTTTGTCCACATGTGTGTGTTAGCGATCATAACGCTACTATTGAATGCAAACAAAATTTAGATGCCGAAGCTTATTACCCAGTATAGTGTATCTTTGGTAAATCTATTTCAAATATTTTAGCACATTCAGTGCTATTTGGAAAGGAGGAGAAATTAGGTTAGTAGCACTCATCATTTGGCCTTGTCTTTGGGTGTTGAATTATAATCAAGAGTTAATTTTAGAGTTTTATCTCCTTGGATATGTGAATAATATACTTAATATCATAAGGTTTAAAGGCACCCATGCTTACATTTTAAAATTAACCATTTACTTAAAAGTAATCCAAGCCAGTGCGTCCAGCTCCTTTTTTACACTCGTTTACAGGTGCCCATGATCATTGGATGGCACGTTGTGGTCTATACAAGAGATGTAGACCTGCAGCCCTAAGGGCTGACAGGATCAGTATCACCGAACACCTGTAGCTGTTTCTTACATACAAGTTGCAAGGCTCTGACTTAAAGAAAAAAGGATAGCTTACTTATTTGCACAGGCAAACTTAGTAAAACTGTAAAATCTATAGGTGTCAATATCTGCTACTGACATTCTATGTAGTCAGCACTCATTGCTTCAAAAGCTTTTTGGAAGTAGCCAGTTTCTTATCCTAGCACTGAATTTATACTTGAAAATTTTTTAAGATGTATTTATTTATTTAAATTATGGCTGTGCTGGGTCTTCGTTGCTGCACGCAGGCTTTCTCTAGTTGCTGTGAGTGGGGGCTGCTGTTCGTTGCTATGTGCAGGCTTCTCCTTGCAGTGGCTTCTCCTATTGCCACTCCTGGGCTCCAGGGACACAGGCTTCAGTAATTGCAGCACACAGGCTGCATGTGTTGTCCTGCAGCATGTGGGATCTTCCCAGACCAGGGCTTGAACCCATGTTCCCTGCATTATAATAAGGCAGAGTCTTAATATAACAACATATATTAAATTTATATTTATTATAATTAATGTATATTTGATTATATTAAATTTTTAATATTAAAATATAATGTTATATCATAAGATATATAAGATATATATTATAATGTAATGTATATAATAAAGATATGTAATGTATATGATTTGATTATATGTGTATATATATATACATATGTACAAATACAAATATATATATACATATACAAATACACATACAAATATATGTGTGTGTATATATATACATATATACATATGTACAAATACAAATATATATATACATATACAAATACACATACAAATATATGTGTGTGTATATATATACATATATACATATGTACAAATACAAATATATATACAAATATATATATTTGATATAATTATATAATTTGACTATATTAAATATATAATATTAAGATATAATATGTTATATTATAAGATATTTAAGATATATATAAGATATATATACGTGATATATCTTATATATCATATAAGATATATTATATCTTAATATAATAAGAGATTCTTAACCACTGAGCCACCAGCAAAGCCCCTATACTTGGAATTTTCTTCAGAGCCTCTCATATCCTCCCTGATTATGCCAAAATACTGGTGGGCTATTGTGGTAGATTCACTTGCCACTATCTGAAGCCTACCCCACTATATGAATGACAGCAGAGAGGGACCATGATGCTGGGGAGAATGTAAATAGTATGAGAATTAGAGTCAGAAAGCTGGATCCGTATCATTTTTAAAACCCTTGCTGGCTGCATGGCCTTGGACAAATCAACTTCCTTGAGCCTCAGTGTCCTCACTGTAAGATAAGATGATAACATATATGAGATAACATAGTCGAAAGTGGAGAAAGAAATGGTAGCTCACTCCAGTATTCTTGCCTGGAAAATCCCATGGACAGAGGAACCTGGCAGTCTACAGTCCATGTGTTCACAGAGTCAGGCACAACTGAGTGGCTACTACTTTGACTTTCTTTCATATTTGAAAGTACTTTGTAAACTTTCCAGAAGAATAGTTTGCTCATTATTTCTGCTTTTGTTTAGCACACTGACTCCTTAGCCTGCCTGCCTTTTTTACCCTACTAAATCTACTCTCTGGTATACACCAAACCAAAGCCCTTTTTTTAGCATAATCCTCTTTGACTTCTAAACATTTGTTAGAAACATAGTCATGTATAGATGTGAGAGTTGGACCATAAAGAAGACTGAGCACCAAAGAATTGATGCTTTTGAACTGTGGTGTTGGAGAAGACTCTTGAGAGTCCCTTGGACTAAAAGGAGATCCAAGCAGTCTATCCTAAAGGAGATCAGTCCTGGCTGTTCATCGGAAGGACTGATGCTGAAGCTGAAGCTCCAATACTTTGCCACTGACATGAAGAACTGACTCATTAGAAAAGATCCTGATGCTGAGAAAGATTGAAGGCAGGAGAAGGGGATGACAGAGGACAAGATGATGGGATGGCATCACTAACTCAATGAACATGAATTTGAGCAAGCTCTAGGAGGTGGTGAAGGACAGGGAGGCCTGGTGTGCTGCAGTCCATGGATTCACAAAGAGTCCAACACGACTGAGCGACTGAACAGCGACAGTCCTCTTTGACCTCTAAACATTTGACCCTTCCCTGGTGGCTCAGTGGTAAGAGTACGCCTGCCAATGCAAGAGCCTTGGGTTTGATCCCGGGTCAGGAAAATCCCCTGGAGAAGGAAATGGCAACCCACTCGAGTATTCTTGCCTGGGAAATCCCATGGACAGAGGAGCCTGGTGGGCTACAGTCCATAGGGTCGCAAAGAATCGTACACTACTTAGCGACGAAACAACAGTCATGTGATTTATCCCAGATTACCCCAGATTTTCTTGAAGTAATACTATCCTGATTCTTCCTTCTTCTCTGGTTGCTCCTTCTCAGACCTTTCTGCATCTCCATAAAGAGGATCACCTAGTTTTTTCTCTCTAGCATAGCTCAGTTTAACAAACATGTTGAATGGCATCATGTGCCAAGCTCTATATTGGGTGCTAGTGACATAAAGATGATTAAGACAGATTATTCAAAGGCAGTTGTAGGTATTCTGCTCTTCTCTCAGCTAACAGTACCTTTCATTTTTATGGCAAATTTCTGCTCTTCTCAATTGTAGAATTAACTTTCCTTGAACCTTTTCAGGTGCCTTTCCGTTTGGGTTCTCATAGCACATTATGTATATCCCTCTTTGAACAAATTTTTCACATTGTTTAGTTAATAAATTCCCCTTCCTGAGAAGAGAAGATTATGAATTCATACAGTTCCTGTGTTTAACAGTGGTCAACAGATATGTGTTGAGTGCTCTTATATGTTAGGGACTCTCTCACTGCTTGAATGAAAAGAGGCAAGGACCTCTGTACTTCTGTAGTTTACATTCTTGTGGGGAAAAGGAAACAGTAATCATAATAAATGGATAAATTATATAATGTATTAGGTGGTGTGTAAAATGGGAGGAAAAGAAGGAAAACAGGGCTAGTTACATTTTAAGATAGGGTAGTCAGACTAGGCATCATTGGAAAGGTGCCTTTGAACCAAGTCTTGAAGGACAGTTGGGAGTTAGCCCAAGCATTTATTCAGGGAAAGAGGATTCTGGAAACAGAAACAGCTGGTGCAAAAGGCCTAAGATGAGAGCATGCTTGGGAACAACAAGGCGGCTGTTGTGGCTGGACTGAGTCCTTAAAGCAGAGTAATAGTAAACAGTGAGGTCAGAGAGGTCATAAGACTAGATCATACAGAATTCTCATTCATCTTTATTTCCTCAGTGCTGAGTACAGTGCCTGTCATGTATTAAGGGCTCAATAAATGCTAGTAAATCAATCAAATGATCATCCAAGTTGAGATTCTATATCTTTTTTAAAATTTACTTTGCCATGCCACACAACATGTGGAATCTTAGTTCTCCAACCAGGGATTAAACCTACACCCCTTGCATTGGAAGCACATTGTTTGTTAACCACTGGACCACCAGGGAAGTCCAAGGTGCTGTATTTTTAGGGCAAGAGCCACTAAAATAATCTTCCTATATAACTTCTTTAATTTTTTCACTTCTGTGCTCATTAGTTGGCTTGGCCACTCAGTGAGGTCTAACTTTCTTGACACATAAGGCCTTAACACGGTTCTTTTCTGGTTTGTCTCTGTACTCTTCTCTTGATAAATCTAATCAGCTATCTTTTTTTCAGCCAAACATGACTACTCACATGCTCACTTAATGTTCTGCCTTCTCTATGGTTTTCTTAATGCTGTTATCCAGGGAATGTTATTCATTCCCTCATTTCTGCCTTTTGAAATTCTACCCATCTTTGAGAACCTAGATCAAGTTATTTGTACCATTCTTTAGTTACATATACGTACCTGATACTATAATTGTGTGTCTATATATTCTTATATGGGATTTTAAGTTCCTTGAGTGTGTGGAGGTACCTTTTATTATTTTTGTTCTGTAGTAGCTCAGATATAGTATGTATTTCATAAATATTTGTCAAATAAGTGAATGAACTTTAACAGTAATCATTGTCTCTAGGAAATGTATCATTTTTAAGCACATAGTGTTAATCCAAAGACAAAAATCTAGTCTCATCATTATTGAAATAATTTAAGTACTTAGTGTGTAAGAATGAATTCTAACATTTTGACATCACTGTTGAAGTACAACCTCTATTGCCTGACATATAAAATTTCTCATGTTAGAAAATACTTACCAAGAGCCAAGTTCTTGGCACAGCTAAGAGCTTGGTAATTGTCCAAAGTTTGACACATAAGCAAACATAATTATATTAGCAAAGATAGAAGCTGGGAGTTGAACCAAACATTAAGACACATAGATGGCTATTATAAAGTGCATGTTGTATTTGGCTCAGTGGGAACTAAGGAGCACACACACTAAATCCAGGAATAGCTGTCATCTGCAGTCTCTTTTTAGACTTCTGTACACTGTTCTTCTCTTGGGGCAGCAATTTTATCAACTCCATCCCTGCCTACTGTGTATCTGTTGTTGAAGGCCAG